AACGAGTAGGAGGGCTACTGAGATGGGCCTTAAAGCCTGGAGCATGGGCTCAGGTGGAGTTGCTACAGGTGAGGGATTCACCTAACTCAGCAGATACTGCAGGCAGGCCTGATGGCAGCTGGATGGCTTGGCTTCCTGGCCCTACGGGGCACATTAAGGTTCAACCATGAAATTCCAGCAAAGGTAGTCAGTTACCATTCTTGTTGTGTTTATGCAAACATCAGGACAGTATAATCTTTATTTGGCTTTTTAATAGCCATGGAGGAATTTTAAGAAGAAAAATCCTATTTCAATAGAAGTTGTTAAAGCTAAAATGGTTTCTTTCCCTTCCACCGCACCATTTGTTAAGTGTATAAAATAGCTCAGTTGATAGTTCTGTGTGCTCACTACGGGCCCCTAGCGACGGTGAAATAAAAGTGCAGTCCGTCTCATGATTGAGCCGGAAGTTCCAAGACAAGGGGGGAATGATGGGGCAGAGGCCATTTGCTCAGACTTGCGCCTGGCCAATCGGCAGGGTCACAGCCAGCTCCCCTCCCCTCACTATGAAAGCCCGGATTTTCACATGGGTCGCACTCGGTTTCCGGTTGCTGCGTCGACTGGAGGTCCGGGTCGGGTTAGCTAACTCAATAAAGGACCCTCTGCTTTTGCATCGGACTGACTCCCTGGCATGGTTTCTTGGGGATCTTGAATTCTGGGCATAACAGTGTTGTCCCTTATTCTCAGCAGCACCTTTTCTTGAGGTCTCTATATCCTTCTGCACCCCACTTGGGCACATGAGAGCATGTGGTGGCTTGTATGCCTACTTAGTGAGTGTCCAAGGTTCTTTACTGCCTTCGGGCTCCTTCTGAACACTTAAGAAATTACTCTGCGTCTCCCAGTCCCATGATGGGGTGCGTGGGAACTGTGTGGGCTGTCTCCAACCCAGCTGTCCAGCTTTGCCTATCACAGCCTTTCATTTCTCAAAGAAATGATAGGAACTTGCTGCTTCCCAGGCTCTACTTAGGAAAAGGGCATGGGTTCCTTCCGATTCCAATTTCCCAGTCTGACAAGGATATCACTTGTTCTCCTGTTGTCAGCTTTCCCCTTCCACTCCCCACCCCCCGCCCCCTACCCTCTGTTTATGGCAATGCTTGGGCTTCTGAGGGAGGGGCACAGGATGTGGGGGACACTGAAATTTTCAACCGACTTGCTTCCTTCTAAGTCCTCTTTTCTCTGAATCCAGAGCCTTTCAGTTAATAAAAGCACCAAACCAAAGCACATTAACTAAAGATCAAACAATCTGTGGTGAAGATACTTTCGTTTTACTTGCAATTGTCATGGATTAATGTTTTTGACCTATACACTGTTCAGTAAGATGAGTCTGCCAATCCTGCATTTGGATATTTTGGCAACATCAAATTGCTGTAAAAGTTTCTGAATTCTTGTTCTCAATATCTGTACTTAACGACTCACAGGCAGTGACGAAGAGCTCATGGGCCAGCAATGGTCCCAAGGTCACACTGAGTCACCTGATATAAAGGCTCAGTCACCTCATCTGCTCTTCTAAGCCTGATAAAGACATTCAAAACTAAAAATTCCAAGAACTTGACTTTCTTTTCCTGTGCATTCTTCTGTGTCATCCCTTCCCTAAGCCAGTAGGCAGAGAATACTGTAGCTGCTGCCAGACTGGAGAAAAGTGGTCTGGAGGGCAGAGAAAATTGTGGAAATGAAAATTGTACAGTTAACACAACTGTAGTTTCACTCTTGCTGCAGAAATGAGAAGTATAAAATTTTTTTTTAATGAAGATAGCAAGAGACTAATTATAATTTGTAAATAAATACCAGTAGGATGCAAGCTACAAAAACTAAGAGATTGGCAATAAGAGAGCTCAGTTGGATGAATAGTAACAAACTGTTAAAGTAAGAAACATTCAAACCTGTAAAGAATTTTTGTGAGTTTATTTGAGCCAAACTGTGGACAATTGCCAGGAAGCAGAGTCTCAAGGTATTGAAATAATGCTCTGGAGAGTGGCAGCTTTTTACAATGTTTTATAAATTACAATTAAAGGAGGAAACTTTAGTGGGTTATGTGAAATCCATTGGTGATAGATTAGGGAGGTGGGAGAAAGCAAAGGGGGGACGTCCCCTCAGGGTGGATAAAAAGTAAAATGATTGACACATGCTTCTTTTACATAGATGGGTGCTGGCTACCTTGGTGTTAACAGTCAATAATTAACATGATAATAATAACAATGAGGGAATTTGTGGTCACAGCCCAGGTGCATTGGTTGTGCCCTGAGGGGCCTGGAAAAAGGGAAGTTACAAGTTATCCTGACATTCCAAAGGTATGTTATCATAGATGCAAAAAAGACAATAGGCTAGGTTAAGATCAAAGTTGATCTTTGTCAGGGAAGATACTGGCTTAGACTTGACTACCCACCATTAATTGCTTTTTAATTTAAAAAGTTTTAATTTCAGCCTGAATATGGCTCAGTGGTTGAGCTTCAACCTATGAACAAGGAGGTCACAATTTGATTCCTGGTCAGGGCATATGCCCGTGTTGTGGGCTCCATCCCCAGTCGGGGCATATAGGAGGCAACCAATCAATAATTCTCTCTCCTCGTTGATGTTTCTATCTCTTGCTCCCTCTCCCTTCCTCTCTGAAATCAATATATATACTTTTAAAATTTTTAATTTCAGACCATTCTTTGTGGTTACTCTAGGTCCGTGGTCGGCAAACCGTGGCTCGCGAGCCACATGCGGCTCTTTGGCCCCTTGAGTGTAGCTCTTCCACAAAATACCATGTGCGGGAGCGCACCGACAGTGCGATTGAAACTTCGTGGCCCAGTGAACAACGGGGTGAAGGTGAGGGCAGGATGAGGGGACATTGGGGGGATAAGGACACATTTGTAATATCTTATTCAATAAAGGGGAAAAAAAAAAAAAAAGAAACTTTGTGGTCCATGCACAGAAGTCGGTATTTTGTGGAAGAGCCACACTCAAGGGGCCAAAGAGCTGCATGTGGCTCGCGAGCCGCGGTTGGCCGAGCCGCAGATTGCCGACCACTGCTCTAGGTCTCTGGGTTTGTAAGACCATGCAGGCCTTGCCTGAGCTAGTCAGGTTGGCATGTGTCCCCTTTTCTTCCACACAACTCTACTAAAATAATGATTAGAAAACATAAAATTAGGGTCTCATTCACAATAACTGTGAAGCAAGAGATTTGGAGATCAAACTAATAGAAAGTTACTGAATAAAGTTGAAGAAAATCACAAAACCTTACTGAGACACTTGACTTAAAACAGGTTTTATTAAAGTAGTAAATACCATATTGTAAAGAGATGTATTCCATTCTAATAAAAATCACATAGGAGGGGTAAAGAGGACTTGACAAAGTGATTTTCAAATCTCTCTAGAAAGTAAAGGCATGATAATAGCCAGAAAACATTTCAAAGAAGAATCTTGAGCCCTAACTGGTTTAGCTCAGTGGATAGAGCATTAGCCTGTGTACTGAAGGGCCCCGGGTTCAATTTTGGTCAAGGGCACATGCTCCATTGCAGGCTTGATCCCCAGTAGGGGGCGTGCAGGAGGCAGCCAATCAATGATTCTCTCTCATCATTGATTCTATTTCTCCCTCTCCCTTCCTCTCTGAAATCAATAAAAAATATATATTTTAAAAAAAGAGAGAAAAAGAATCTTAAAGGAGTACTTATGTTAGGGGCAGAAATAGAATTTTGGGGACTAGCTATAATTATAAGAAATATTAATTATGCTCTGTTAACCATGATTGCTTTGCTCTGATTAAAGAAAGCACCTTCTAACCTGGCTGGGCATTGTACGAGAGACCTGAGTAAACCTTGGAATGAGGTCCATTCTCATCCAAGAACTGCCTATTATCATGGCAGAAACAATGGAGGTACCCTCTCTGCCCTTTTCAAACCTCCAACCTACATTCCCTGCATACCTACTACTATTCTTATCTCTTTTGCCTACTTCCCCATGTAATCTTTGTCTTACCCAATATAAGCAGCTGACTTATTAGGGGGAGGGAGGCTCAGATTTTTGTGGGTGACCTGCTGCTCTCCCATACTGTCAACGTTATTGGAATAAGCGTTCATATATGATTCAACCCTGTCTCTGCTTAATTGGCTCAAGTAGTGACAGGCAGTCCAAGACCATTGGTTGTCCGGTCTCACTTACCCTTGTTGATATTAAATGGCATTATAAAGCTACAGAAATTAAAACAGGGCAATTCTATACAAGCACCAAAAGAGAAATCAGTGGAACAGAAAGACTACCCAAAAAGAGTCCTATCAATGAAAACTTTATGATATATGGGCAATTAAAATCACTAGAGAAAGGATGGCTTATTTAATAAATGGCGTTAGAATAACTGATTAACAAATGTTTGTGGTTACTTTGGGTCTTTGCCTCAGCTAACAGGCTCAGTTTTCCTGGGTGTCTGTATTGTACTTCCTCATGCCTTTAAGCTGGGTGTTGCTGTGTGACTTTCATTGGCCAATGAAATGAGTTGGAGTGAGGCCTCCCTTCTGAGAAGAAACTTGAAGAGTCAGGCGAGGAACTGGGCTCTGTTCTCCTGTTCCAGTCTTTGGCTACAGGCCATGGGGAAGTGGAACTTCAAAACACTCAGGCACTTCCCTCTGAAGGTTGCTGGTGGCAGCCATCCACAGCAAAGATGGCGGGAGGTGGTTGCACAGAGCTGGTCAAAGGTGGGCCTTCACCAGAGTCCACTGCAGGGCGGGCATGGCCAGATCTGCTGTGAAAGCTGGTGCCAGATGGGCAGGCCCAGGGAGCCCAAGAGTGGGGCGGGGGCAAGCATAGTACCTTGACGTGAGCTGCTGCCAGAAATGCACACAAAGGAGTAGGTGGCAGGTGTGGCATAAGGAGCAGCCCACCACGGGCCTGGGAGAATGTAGTTGTGGAAATGAGAACAGCAAAATGTGGGGTTGAGGGTGTGGGAAATGCTCACCTGTTTGAATTCAAATGTTGGACTCTGAGACAGAAAATATGGGGAAAATTGAATGCGCCGCTGTGTCCATGGAGAGCGGCTGAGGCATCTGAGCTGCGGCCCGAGACATCAGGGCGCCGGGCCGGCCAGGATGTCGGCTTCGTTAGTCCGGGCCACCGTCCGGGCTGTGAGCAAGAGGAAGCTGCAGGCCACCCGGGCCGCCCTCACCCTGACACCTTCAGCAGTAAACAAGATAAAACAACTTCTTAAAGATAAGCCTGAACATGTAGGCGTGAAAGTTGGTGTCCGAACCAGGGGTTGCAATGGCCTTTCTTATACTCTAGAATATACAAAAACAAAAGGAGATTCTGATGAAGAAGTTGTTCAAGATGGAGTCAGAGTGTTCATCGAAAAGAACGCACAGCTAACACTTTTAGGAACAGAAATGGACTATGTTGAGGACAAGTTATCCAGTGAGTTTGTGTTCAATAACCCCAACATCAAAGGAACATGTGGCTGTGGAGAAAGCTTTAATATTTGACTCCTCAGGACTACTCTGGCTGTAAGCTCCAGGAAAGCTGTGGAAGAAATCGTGACTGTCACATGCTTAAGGTTGACAATGCATGGCTGCCTTAGGAGGAAAATAACTATTTTGAAAATGAAGCCAGTGTGTTAGATTTCAGAAGTGATATTTGTCTTCTTTTTTTTTTTTTAAAATGTATTTTATTGATTTCTTACAGAGAGGAAGGAAGAGGCATAGAGAGTTAGAAACATCGATGAGAGAGAAACATCGACCAGCTGCCTCCTGCACACCCCCCACTGGGAATGTGCCCGCAACCAAGGTACATGCCCTTGACCGGAATCGAACCTGGGACCCTTGAGTCTGCAGGCCGACGCTCTATCCACTGAGCCAAACCGGTTAGGGCGATATTTGTCTTCTTTTTAGGGGACAATATGAGAAGCCATCACTCCCTTTGGGTCATTTTTCTGATCTGTAAAGAAAAATAAATCCTGCCGAAGCCGGTTTGGCTCAGTGGATGGAGCGTCGGCCTGCGGACTGAGGGGTCCCGGGTTCGATTCCGGTCTAGGGCATGTGCTTGGGTTGCGGGCACATCCCCGGTGGGAGATGTGCAGGGGGCAGCTGATCGATGTTTCTCTCTCATCGATGTTTCTGGCTCTCTGTCTCTCTCCCTTCCTCTCTGTAGAAAATCAATAAAAATATATTAAAAAAAAAAAAAAGAAAAAGAAAAATAAATCCTGCCCTGTACTTAATTCTCTTGCATCCTTTCTGTTAGAACCAGTTTTGCAGAAGGTGCCGGCCTGGGAGGATTTCGGGAAACACATTCTTAGTAGGTGTGCACACTGTATCTCTGTTGAATGGCTTGAACGTGCATCTCTAGGCCAGATTGATGGTTCTTAAAATTCAGAGGCAGAAAGCCCTGACTGCTAGTTGACATGGCGATGCATTGTTTTTCTACCCAAACTTGGCTCAGCCTTTCTACATTTGTATCCAAAATTTCATTGACAGATGCCTCATTTCCTTACCCTTTAGCAGCATCAGCCATCAGATGAAAGGGTCAAAGATTTCCTTGAAATACAGTGCAGAATGGTTTTGAGTGATGGCATCAAAGGTAAGAAATACTTCACCCACCATTTTTCATCCATTTTCTTTGCCACTCTAAACATCTGCTGAAGATGGAATCTCAAGCTTAGATTCTTTTATTTGAAAGGTCTCCTACAAGCCATCTAGCCTCTCCCCATCAATTCTATACCTTAGGAAGCAAAACCCCAGGGAAGGAGGAGGGCTTGTGCCCACCTGCACAGACAGAGCGGGACTACTCACATCTCCCCTTCCGTTCAGGTGACAGGCCAGCCTGGAGCACCGAGGCAGGCAGAGAAGGTAAATGGGCGATCTGGCTTCTCCAGCTGATTGACGTTTCGATAAGATTTCTACGTAAATTGATGGAGATCATATTTTTATTTTGAGTGAGAAGAATCTTATTTGTAAACCCCTCTATGTGAATGACCATACTTCTTTTGAAGTATGAAGCAGTGGTTTATACCTGCAGGGAAGACGTGGTAACCCAGAGCACCCTTTTGGAATGTAGTAGTAGTGAGTGTAGCAAAGCACAGGGGTCTTCTCCTGAAATTCCCAGGATGCATATACTTTCTGGATCCTAAGTCCAAGTGCTAAAAATTTTAAATCTTAATATTTTAACCCAACATTTTTGTCACCAATTTTTCTTTTTAATAGTGTTCCTTTTGTAATTTAATACTTAATTTTCCTGAGCTTGACATATTGTTTTATGAGATGCCATATGCTTGAAAGCCAAGTCTTATGAATTGAAGTAGCTGAGTTCCTTGATGTTTGTCGTATTTACTAAAGTACCTGACACAAATTGCACCAAAACGTAGAGCAGTTGCTTTATGCTCATGAGTTTGTATTAATATAATTGTCAACCCACTTATAATTTGTGCAATACTGAATGTATGTAGTGATTTGAGTTTTCAATAAAAAAATGTGGCCTCTTAAAAAAAAAAAAAAAAAGAAAATATGGGGAAAATTGAAAGGGCGAGGGCTATGCTCTCCATCTTGCCCCGTACCCTCCATGTTGGGGCAGCCGCCATGTGCTCAGGAGAGTACCTTCTTCCCAGAAGCCCAGGCCCCTGCTGGCCACGCCCGGGATTTCTTTAAACTAACCAATGACAATCAAGGGACCACATCCTGTGTAAGAAGAAGACCCGACTGGCGCCTGGCCAATCGGCAGGGCCCACAGTCAGCTCCCCTCCCCTCACTCCACACCCTATTAAAACCCTGTTTTTCCCACGGTGGGGTCATTCTGCTTCTGGTTGCTGCGTCGGCCGGAAGGCAGGGTCGAGTTAGCTAGCTCAATACAGGACCCTCTGCTTTTGCATCGGACTGGCTCCCTGGTGTGGTTTTCTTGGGGATCTTGAAATCTGGGCATAACAAAAATGAGACTTTTAATAATAGGTTTCGAGAACAGGTGTCTTTGGTCACAGGCACACCTGGTGCAGCAAGCATAGCCCATTTATTTAGTCCCTTCTCTGGTTCCTCATTGGCTGAGTACTATTGGGTCACCTGTTTCCTCATAGGTGGCCTAGGTCTAGCTGTCTCCTATTGGGCCACTTAAAAAAAATCGGGCTGAGGTCTTTCTACCTGTCTCCACCTCCCCTGTCTAGCTGAGGCAGACGCCGTGGGGTTTCCACCATGACATAGGCCCACGGCCCATGTGCACAGTTCTTTGTTCCTCTTCCTTCCTCCCTACATTCTGTTTGCCCTGGGGATAGTCAGTAAATTCCATCAAAAGCCGACCATGCTGGAGATGGATCACAGAGGTCCCTTTCCTACACTGGGGACAAGGAAGCCCATTTCCAGCTTCCCCCATCTTGGTGTATCAGCCCCCATCAATCTAAGCCTCAGACTGGCCTTAGGCTTGCCTGTCTCAGCTAGCAGCCTGCTCACCCAGGTTCTGTGAGCTGCTCTTCACCAGGTCCCAGGGCTGTCACTGGTGCCAGGCCTCAGCCCCAACCTGGCTCCAGCTCTGATCCTCTAGCAGCGCCCTGACAACACCCAGAGCCGGTAGCTTGAGCCACCAAAGCCAAGACCCACGGAAGGAAGCAGAAGGCCCTCCAGGCTGGCTCCATCTGGGGGCTCTGCCTCCATTGGCACAGTAGTTGCTGTCAGCACTGTATTCAGATCTTCTCACTGGGCATGTGTGCCCAACCGTGGGCACTTCCCTTTCCCATGCCTGTGACCTTCCTGGGAGAATTGCCCTGGAGTTTCTGGGGCTATTCTGTAAGCACTGGATTTTACATCCCCCAGGCAGCGCTTAATCAATGAGTGATAGTACGGGAGAAGGAAAGTTTGGTTCTCTTGCTTGGAAGCAGGATAATCCTGGGGTATAATAGAAACTAACAGCAGACAAATACATTCTTTTCTTTTATATATATATATATATATATATTATTGATTTCTTACAGAGAGGGAGAGAGATAGAGAGTGAGAAACATTGATGAGAGAGAAACATCGATCAGCTGCCTCCTGCACACCCCCTACTGGGGATGTGCCCACAACCAAGGCACATGCCCCCGACCAGAATCGAACCCGGGACCCTTCAGTCCACAGGCTGACGCTCTATCCACTGAGCCAAACCAGTCAGGGCCATTCTTTAAAATTATTATAATTACTTAAAAATTTAATATTACTTAATATTATTTTAACAATTTCGCATCTTAGCTGGTTTGGCTCAGTGGATAAAGCGTCAGCCAGTGGACTAAAGGGTCCTGGGTTCGATTCTGGTCAAGGGCACATGCCCGGGTTTCAGGCTCGATTCCCAGTAGGGGGCATGCAAGAGGCAGCTGGTCAGCAGCTGATCAATGATTCTCTCTCTTCATTGATTTTTTTAAAATATATTTTTATTGATTTCAGAGAGGAAGGAAGAGGGAGAGAGAGAGAGAAACATCCATGATGAGAGAGAATAATGGATCAGCTGCCTCCTGCAAGACCCCCTCTAGGGATCAAGCCCACAACTCGGCATGTGCCCTTGACTGAATTGAACCTGGGACCTTTCAGTTCGCTCTATCCACTGAGCCAAACCGGCTAGGGCTCTTCATTGATGTTTTTACCTCTTTCTCTCTCTCCCTTTCTCTCTGAAATCAATAAACATATATATTTTTAAAAAAGAATATATTAGATAAGCAAAAAGGAAAAAATATCTACCTGCAACCTCACCATGCATAGGTAAATAAACTCTCATACACATATGAAACACCTTTTTATATTTTTCTGTATATCTTTCTCTAAATGAACATATTGGTATCTATATTCATCTTGCAATATATATCACTATATAAGTCTATATATCCTTATGTGTATATTCATGCCTGTCTTTCTCCATCTCCCTGTCTCCAGATATCTGCATCTGTCTGTGTATTTGTGTTCTTCTCTTGCCCCTGCTCGACAGTGAACACATACAGCCCAGTGATGCATTCTTCCTGAGCCAAGACCGTCACTAATGGCTGGAGTCAAATATATTCCCAGTTCCAAGTTTCACGATCACTTCTTTTTTTTCTTTTTTTAAATCCTCACCTAAGGATATTTTTCCATGGATTTTTAGAGAGAGTGGAAGGGAGAGGGAAAGACAGAAACAACAATGTGAGAGAAACACATTGATTGGTTGCCTCCTGCATGGACCCCAGGCCAGGTAGGAGCCTTCGACCAAGGTACATGCCCTTGACCAGAATCGAACCTGACCCCTCGGTCTGCAGGCCGACACTCTATCCGCTGAGCCAAACCAGCTAGGGCTTTACCGTCACTTCTGAGACATCTAAGGATATGATCATCTATCTTTGGAATACCTCCTGGCAACCACTTTGTTCCATTCTCCTGAAAATGGGGCATTGTCAGCTCCTAGCCAAAAAGGAAAAACAGAGAAGCAGGAAATCTCACACATCTTCTAAGAAGGCTTTTTCTCTTCCTCTGCTGCCCTTGCTCCAGAGTAACCAACAACAATAACAACCAACAAAACCTGCCAGGTTTTCTGCAGATATTTGTTAAGTCTTGTCCCACTCACTAATTAAATACTGCTTTCCACCTGGGTGAGTGGAACCATTGTGGTGGAAGAGTGCCACCTGTCACCTGCCACAGCCCTTAGCT